GGGTGTGATCCTTCCCTCAGTTCCAACTCCCCCTTCTTCCAACCAGACAAGGACTTTGGCATTAAAGGCTTCTTGCTCCTCAGGAGCCACCGGTCTCTTTTCTGCCTGAGAGAAGGCACCCTGAATGGCTGCAGTCACATTTTACAATATTCACATTGATTGTGACACCCTTAAAGAGGGTGAAGCCTCTCGACATGTGTTTGTAGGAACTGGCTGCCACTTAGAGTTTTCCATTTTGTTCCAGATCTGCCTGAACAGAGTATCAAAAGGAACCCGAAGAGCCTACAAAAAGAGTTAGAGACAAAATTCGAGAAAACACATATGCACACTCATACACACAATTGTGGTGAGTGACATGATTTTAAAAAATAATTTCCACTCTATGTTCATCTGTCCTGCACCTCGAGGTAGCCATCTCAGGATTCATACATCAAGACATAAAACAAAGGGCGGCTTTGAAGTGGATCACCTCAGTGTGAACTGCCGTGGTTACATGATAACCGATCATCGGCCTTCAAATTTATGGCGCTTTAATGGGGTGAGCCCAGTGCCTTAAATGCAGGGTGTATTACGTACTGAGTTATCTGGGCTAAATAAGAGTGATTTAGAAGGCCTATCTAGGGCTCCCCATAGAGCAAAAGAGGCTCAGGCGGGATCAGGAGAACTTGGGCAGAAAGCCGTGAGATAAATACTATCCCCTTCCGAGCAAACCCTAAAAGGAGTAGTTACAAAATCCCGAAGTAGCAAAGCCAACAGGAAGGAAGAATCATTGTTCGGTTCCAGTGAATTAACGGGGTTATCCAGCAAGAGTCGTGTCTGCCAGAAAGACGTCTTGTGGCTTCCAAGGCCCTGGTTTAGGCAAAACAGGGAGAGGGGCCGAGGGCAACTCGAACGAACCTTAGAAAAATCTGAGACTAACAGAAGCAACCAACACACCACCACCTCCCCCTTCTCTTTCAACTTGCACGATCCGACTCTCCCGATCCGTGATTTACGACCACTGAGCGCTAGTCACAGCGCGGAGACGGCCACCCGTTCGTTCCCTCCCCAAGCCCCTCGCCCTTTCCACGGCCGCCTCGGGCAGGCAAGCGCGGACCGGCCTTCGCGCAACCAACGGGCGAGCCTTCTGGCGTCCCCAGGCCACGGCGGGCAGCAGTTCTTCGGCCCCGGAGAGGCTGAGTGCGTCCCTTTCCGCGTCTGGCCGCCCTGCAGAGTTGCTCCAAGAGGCGGCACCGGCCACTTTATATAATCCCCCTGCTCCGGGGGCGCGGGCCCGGGAAAAGTGCGGAGTAGGGCATTCTTTTGCTGCGCTTCCTCCTACGTTGAGTCCGTTTTCCACTTCTGAAAAGTGCCGGGCCTGGGGAAGTGTTTTTCTTTTCATTCCTTACTGAAGCGTTTACTGCCGCTGTGCTCGCAGTCATAAATTTTGTTACAAACCACAATGACAGGTGCATTGATATGCACCGTGAGAGCTCCAGCTGCTTAATAACCCCGTCCCCTGGCCGCTGTGAGCGCCTTTTATTTATTCGGTATCATATTAGGTATTGATCCCGGGCAGAATTAAGTGCAGTGAGCAAGTATCTGGATTCGGCTGTTTGGGAGGCGCGGTGGGTGCGGCAGGCTAACGCGGCCTGGGGAGCCGGCGGTGGTCGCTCAGAGGCTGCTTTCCTTCCGTCGACTTCCCGGGACCTCGGGAAGGGATGAGCCAGACCCCCTTTTGGCGCCCCTTCTCCAGGAGGGGGCGGGGATGGCGCCGGCAGAGTTGTGGGGAGGTTGCCCCGCCGGTTCCCTGGTCTGGGGGGTGGAGGGGAGAACTGAGAGGAGAGGGCTGCCGAGGACTTGGGAGGCTGCCCCTCCCCCTACAGGGGCTTGTCTTCACCCCAAGGCATTTGGGTCCCAGAGCCCAAATGAGCAGAGGTACCAAAGGGTGAGAAAAGAAAGCCTTAAAGAAAGGGGTGGGGGTGATCGAAAAGATGAGCCACTGAACAGTTGACCATTGTCCAAGTGATTTATGACCCATTCCTGCTTTTTAGGTTCAGGCAGAGTTCACAAGGAGTAGGGATTTCTGGAAAGAAATAAGCTTTTTTTTTTTAAAGCCAGTTTTGTGACAATATTCTCAGGTTCTGTTTTAGGAAATGTGGCTTCTTTAGGGCACAATATATTTGGGGGTTAGGGGAGGCAGCAAAGTCCTTCCCCTTTAGGAGAGGGCTACTGCCATGGCTTCTGGGGAAATGGACATTGGGGTGGCAAATCGCCATTGTGTGTGCCTTGAAATTCCTTAATACAATGAAGACAGAGAACAGTCTCTGTCGTTACCCATGAAGCTGCCCACTATTTGCACTTTTGACATCTGTACACAGCGTGTTTTCTAGGAATATGCCATAGGAACAAATATATATGTAAAGCCATCTGTTTCAAAGACCTGGTCAGTTCCTAAAGAAGCTGTTTCAGTGCGACTGGTCCACCTATCAAGATAACTTGGTCAACCTGGGAGGCAAGAGGGAAATGTTTTTCTTCCACTGTTGTAACTGGAATGACAGAAGCAACAGTGAGTTCTGTTGGTCTGAGTGTCAAATGTGACCATTTTGACATCCAGAGGGTTCAAAGTTTAAGACTGGAAGCTGGATCCCAGAAAAGTACAGAAACTTAAGCAAGCTCAGAGTACCTGGTGCTTTTGCCTGGGGACATATAAATATTAGTCATATGATGAGGAGTTAGCTGTCCATTTGATATTCAGTAATTTTAAGAGTCAGAAAATATAGAAAATGAATGGAATGAAAGATTAAGACCAGCTTTGTTGAGTAGATATCTTAATTGCATATATTTAATAACAATTATAGAAACAATTCCTAAAATATAACATCCTAGTGTTCTATTATCCTATTGCGAAGGGCTTCTCATCAAGATAAATGGCATACTCACTTATATTTTAAAACAAAAACAGTCAATACTACCAAAGGCTAGTATATTTATTTATCTATTTATCTAAAATGTTTTATTTCTTTTTTGGAGAGGGGAAGGGAGGGAGAAAGAAAGGGAGAGCAATATCGATGTGTGAGAGATACATCTACTGGTTGCCTCTTGCATGCACAACCCCAGCTGGGGACCTGGCCTGAAACCCAGGCATGTACCTGGACTGGGATTTGAACCAGCGACCTTTGGGATTGCAAGCCAGTGCTCAATCCACTGAGCCACACCAGCCAGGGCTTTTATTTATTTCTTAATTATTTTTAAAATCCTCACTCAAGAATATGTTTTTATTGATTTTAGTGAGAGAGGAAGGGAGAGAAACATCAGTTGCCTCCCACACATGGCCTGACTGGGGATTGAACCCACAACCTAGTGTGGGTCCTGGCCCACACAACCTTTTGGTGTGTGGAGGACAATGTTCTAATTGACTGAGCCACCCAGCCAGGGCTGAACAATTTTTAAAAATCTAGTTAGGCTTTTTGGTGAAGTGGAGGGGAAATGAATGACTGGAGAAGCGATTTTGGCACTAGTGGTCAAATCCATTAGGCCACATAAGTTGTCTAGATAATATGGTCCATCATGATGACCATGATGTAAGCCAGGGAGTTGTGGGGAAGAAAAGTTGCCTGAAAGAAGAGATCAAGAATTAAGACCAGGAAGCTGACCAATGAGTTTTCTTTATCAAGCAGACAAAAGTGGTTGAATGGTATTAGTTATACTTTAACTCCTCAGGAGCCTTTCAGGAAAAGGGGCATGTGGGTGAGAAGGGACATCTCCATCAAGAGTCAGAGGACACAAAAGGGGTAGAATTTTTCTTAGTTTTTTTTTTCCTCCTTCTAATTCTGGGTCTATTCATTACGCCAAAAGAGGCTGTCTTACTGGTTGTGAGTTGGATGGTGGTGGTAGAATGAATGATCTAGAGTAGAGGTAAACAATAATATTTATACAATAGATTCAGGATAAAAAGTGATAGTTATAAAGCATTTTCCATTTATCTGTGCTCTATGCATTTCAAATTCTAAATCTTTTCACCCATTTTCAGTGGTATCCATTTAAAAGTAGTGGAGGACAAAGTTAAGAGAGTAGAAAAATGTAAGTGAAAGAGAAAAGACATTTTCTAGCCTCAAAAGAAGTCCAGAGTCTTTAAGTCCTCTTCTTGGTTTTTATCTCCTAGTGGATTTCACAGTGCTGACCCACAGAGCAAACTGGGCCGATTCTCACCCTGTCACCAGGAAGTGGACTATCTGGGTCTTCATGAAGGATGCTGAGATTCTGAAACCAGGTCGGGGAGATACTTTTTTTTTTTTTTTTGTAAGCACTCTGGCTATTCTGAGTGGGTTTCCTTTACCCATCAAAATCCTGGGATGACCCCATGGTTGATTGATCCATTAAGTCATTCACCCATTCAATAAGCATTTATTTATCACATCTGGGGCTCTGGGCTAGATGTTAGGGATATATAAATAAATAAGACACAGTCCCTGCCTGCAAGGAGCTCAAAGTTAAGTGGGAGAATTAGCCATTAAAATGTATGAGGCCATAGTGCTTTTCCATGCAGTTTCAAACACTAAATTGACACTCTTGGAGAAAGAAAATTGTATCTGGAGAAAGAAAGAAAAAAAGGGAGGGAGGGAGGGAGGGAGGGAAGAAGGAAGGAAGGAAGGAAGGAAAGAAGGAAGGAAGAAAGGAGGGAGGGAGGAAGGGAGGGGAGGAAGGGAGGCAGGTCCCTTTCCTTGGATGTAGCTAAAGAGAAGAAAAGGTCTCTTCTTATGTTTATGAGAAATACCTTCTGACCTTTCCAAGGGTTCAAATAAGTTTAACTTCATAAAATTCCAGATTCCGCACTATTAAGTGGGTGAGGATCATAGAGTCTAAGCTAGTCCCTCTGTATTGATTGGTTTTGCCAATGACAGTCCTGCTGGGGCCTCTCACTTTTCCTTTCTGCAGGTCTACTGGAGCCTGGGGCTGCCCCAGCTCTCTCAGGATTTGGCAGACGTTGGAGGTGGCAGTGAAGGAGACAGTGGTGGTCAATGTTATTTGAGCAGGGTCAGCAGGCCCTGGAGCTTCCTGAGTGCACGATGCAGAAGGCTGCTTACTATGAAAACCCAGGACTTTTTGGAGGCTATGGCTACAGCAAAGCCACTGACACTTATGGCTACAGTGCCCCCCATCAGCCTTATCCACCTTCTGCTGCTGCCAACTCCCTGGACACTGATTACCCGGGTTCTGCCTGCTCTATCCAGAGCTCTGCACCTCTGCGAGCGCCATCCCACAAGGGGGCTGAACTCAATGGCAGCTGCATGAGGCCTGGCACTGGGAACAGCCAGGGCGGGGCTGGTGGCAGCCAGCCTCCTGGTCTGAACTCAGAGCAGCAGCCACCACAGCCCCCTCCTCCACCACCGACCCTGCCCCCATCCTCACCCACCAATCCCGGAGGTGGAGTGCCTGCCAAGAAGGCCAAGGGTGGTCCCAATGCTTCTGGCTCTTCAGCCACCATCAGCAAGCAGATCTTCCCCTGGATGAAAGAGTCCCGGCAGAACTCCAAGCAGAAGAACAGCTGTGCCACTGCAGGTAGCTCTGAGGGAGCTTAACCCTGGACTAAGCCCCCTCCTCACCGACCCCAAGAAGCTAGCTCACTTAGGAACCAAGAAACTCAGGTTGGAAGTACAAGCTTGGAGGCCATGTGTCTAAACTCCCACTGACACAGAAATGTCCCTTCTTTTTAGTGTTCCTGATTGGGGGTCATACCCTTAGAGTGACAGGGGACTCACTCCCATTCCAGGCTGTTGGTGCCATAGCTGGGCAAGTCTCATAGTTATTAATAGACAGCTCTTCCTTATACTGATCTAATAACTGCTTTCCTGGGCTGCTAGCCATAACTCAGCTTCTTTTTCCATCCAATAGTTCTTCAAAACTTGAAGACAGTTATGATTCCCTGAGCCCAGGTAGTTATGCAGTCCATATCACATGAATTTCCAGCCTCTCAAATTCATAAGAACTGAAATCTATGGAGTGCTATGTTAAGAACCATGCTAAGTGCTTTACTCCCAGCCCAATTCTCCCCATCCCAGCAAATCCATAATAGGGGGCGCATATCCTAGAAGAAGAGGATATGCTCCGAGAGAGGAGCAGCCTTGTTTCTCTCCGTGGAAAGGGAGACCCTACAGTTGAGAAGATCTTCTGTAGCTCCATTCAGGGCGTGTGGAAGACGGGCAGGGACAGGAGCTCTGAGGCCTGCTGCCTCTCTCTCCTCAGCCTTCTCTGTTCCTGCAATTTTCTGGCCTTGTGTTCTCTGATGTGGTTTATCTTCAGGTAGATGAACCTGCTTGCAGGTTCAGGGCCACTTTGCAGCCTGAGATGTAGCTTACTTGTTATCAGGTCTCTGGTTTGCCTGCTGCTCTCTGGGGCTGCTGCTCCTAGAGGGAAAGTATCTTCCAGCCTGTAAGCTCCTTCTCCTGCCCCTCCTTCCCAGCTGCAGGCACAGGCCCTCCCTCCCAGGAGAAATCCATTTGTCTTCCCAGTGAGGGAGTGGACAAGCTGCTGAGAGGTGGCAGGGGTGGTGGAAACCAGTGTTAAGGCTGCTGGTACTAGCACTGCAATACTCAGAATGCTCCTGGCCTAGCCTTGTATCCTCCAAAATGCCAGGGCAGTATTTTTATGGTTTATCATCTCCCTGCATTTCGAGGCAGAGCTTTTGGGTGCAGCTGGGCTGGAGTAGGGTGCTAAGATCTCCACCCTCAGTCCTCGCTTCCCGGGTACTTCGCCCTGGAGCCAGCCCCTGAGCCAGCCCCTGAGCAAGGCAGGCTGCGGCTGTTCCCTCCTCCCCCCTCCCCCAGCAGAGGCTATGAGGAGTGTTCAAAGAAGTCTGGTCCTTCTTTGACGGAGCGGAGGCCTTACCAGCTGCTACTAGTCTCCATTAAACTCCTCCAAGGCCTTTGGGAGGGGAGGGGTTGGACAGAGGGGATCAACCTCAGACGGCAGATGGGGGTTTCAGGTGCGACTGATTAGTAGGCTTGGGGCTGGTGAGTTTCTTAGAATCTCATCTCCCAAACGCCCCTCCCCGACCCAAGCCAGGATTTTAAAGTGGGGGGCGGAGAGGGAAGAGGAAGGAACAAGGGACGCACCCCTTCCAGCCCTGGGTGTCTCCACCTCTCCTTCTCAGCGCCCCTCTCTCTCCCTCCTGTCCAGGAGAGAGCTGCGAGGACAAGAGCCCGCCGGGCCCAGCGTCCAAGCGGGTGCGCACCGCGTACACGAGTGCACAGCTGGTGGAGTTGGAAAAGGAATTCCACTTCAACCGCTACTTGTGCCGGCCACGCCGCGTCGAGATGGCCAACCTGCTGAACCTCACCGAGCGCCAGATCAAGATCTGGTTCCAGAACCGGCGTATGAAGTACAAGAAGGACCAGAAGGCCAAGGGCATTCTGCACTCGCCAGCGGGTCAGTCGCCGGAGCGCAGCCCGCCGCTCGGCGGCTCTGCCGGCCACGTGGCCTACTCGGGTCAGCTGCCGCCGGTGCCAGGCCTAGCCTACGACGCGCCCTCGCCTCCCGCGTTCGCCAAATCTCAGCCCAACATGTACGGCCTGACCGCCTACACGGCGCCGCTCAGCAGCTGCCTGCCACAGCAGAAGCGTTACGCGGCGCCCGAGTTTGAGCCCCATCCCATGGCGAGCAACGGCGGCGGCTTCGCCAGCGCCAACCTGCAGGGCAGCCCGGTGTACGTGGGCGGTAACTTCGTCGACTCCATGGCGCCCGCGTCCGGGCCGGTCTTCAACCTGGGCCACCTCTCGCACCCGTCTTCGGCCAGCGTGGACTACAGTTGCGCCGCGCAGATTCCCGGCAACCACCACCATGGACCCTGCGACCCTCATCCCACTTACACAGATCTTTCGGCCCACCACTCGTCTCAGGGACGCCTGCCCGAGGCCCCCAAACTGACGCATCTGTAGCGGCCGCCAACGGCCCGAAGTAGTGGCCCAATTACCTCTTTTGCTTTGGTGTCGGGGGTGGCGGGCGGGGCCGGCGGGGCAGCGGGTGACTCCTCCCTCGCCCTGGCCCGGGTCGCAGCCTCCCTGGTTTCGGGCCAACAGCGGCCGAGGCACAGGAGACTGGGCCTCCCCTCCAGGCGCGTCCTCCTTTGGGTGACTTGCCATAAATCAGCCGCAAGGATTGTCCTCTGTAAGCCTGACAGTGCCCTGTACAGCGGACCGAGGGACTCTAATCTGGTAATGGTGTCCCGAAGGTAAGTCTGAGAGCCATCGGCAGCGAGCTCTGCAGAGGGACTGGAGCCTAGAGAGCTCCGGGCCTGCCCCGTGTCTAGCCTAGTTGCAGACACCTTAATTTATATGCTCCTTTCCGTCCCGTAAGGATTGCATCGGACTCAACAATCTGTATTTATTATTTGAAGCGAGTCATTTCGTTTCTCTGATTATTTATCCTCGTCTTAATGTATTTATGTGTATATTTGTAGAATTTTCCAGCCAGCTTCGGAACGCGCTCCCAGGCCCCAGGGTCCACATTTCACCTCTTTAGTCCCCTTGGTCTGAATTAGTTGAGAGAGTAGTTTTTGAACAGTTGTAACCGTGGCTGGTGTTTGTAGTTGATGTAAAGGATCAAGACCGCAAAATGTCCTTCATGGGTAGGGACACCCGTTACTCATTTCTCAGCAGCCGCAGCCCTCCAACTCGACACAGTTTATTGATTTCAAATTGTCTGGTACTATTTGAACAAATATTTAGAATAAAAAATTTCTCAGTCGGAAGAGTATCTGTGTTAATCACACACACTTGCAAGTAGATCACTGCCTTTATCTTTCCCACAATCCCTGTGGAAGGCCCTCAAATAGGCTGACCCATTGAAATATTTTTTTTTTCATGCATTTGGAATCTAGTACATACACTGGCTGTAGGGATACTTGATTACATTCCAGCTATTGACATGAAGGGGAAAAACCTGAGAATGCAAACCCAGAAATGCTAGAGGGGATGATGTGGGTAGGGCTTTGCACTGCCCCTGCTTTGCTGTTTCTATCCTCCACCCCCTTTCTGGACACAAATCGACATTTTTAGATTGCATTCACATTGCGGAGGCCAGAGCTCACTTTTCTGCATTAAGTAATAAAAAAACTTTGGGGGAAAAAACCTGACAATCAAAAGAAAACAACAACAACAAAAAAAATGAAGTCGTAAGAAGAATTGAGCTATGAAAAAGCTAAGGTGCAAAAAAAGAATCCTTTGGAAACACGCACCTAAGCTTTTTCTCTAGGAAAACGCTGTCAAGACTTTTTCCTTTATAGTGGTTGGTGGTTCATTTCTAAGGAAAACAAACATTCCCCATGATATAAAGTAATAAAAGTTTCATTAATGGAACATAAGTATAAACACCTTGTTTACTCCTGTTCTTTGTACTAAATGGGTAAAAAATGTCTCCAAGGATTTATAACCATTTTGTAAATAATAGTGTGGCTTTAGCCAGGGGTGGACAACTTCCACCCACTTCTCTGGGAGGAGGCACTTGGAAAACGCCTTCAGATAAGGTTCAATTCTTTGTATTTCAGCAAAGTCGGCCCACACATCTCTATTTGGTTTGACAAATAATGCAACTCCTACTACATCCCTGGTGACACGAGGTGAAATTCCTATTGTGTGGAAATAATTTAACTTCTAATCTTCTGGTGGAACAACAATCGTTTCTATTTGGGTGTTTGTGTTTCGCTAAATAATGATGGCTCAAGAAATAATTTAGTTTCCTTGTTCCTTTGTGCTGTTTTTAAAATGGCATGTTAGACTGGGAGTGGGAGGGGGTTATCCTTTTGCTAAATTTCACGTTTTCTGAGCAGGTTTGAAGTATGTTGTAGAAGTGTATCAGCAGAATAAATGACTTCAACTGAAGGGACAGTGTACCCACTTTCAAGGCTTAACATTGTTTTCTATGAAATTTGCATCCAAAGGCAGGATTTCTAATTATCTTGTAAGAAATTATTTTTTAAACTATTAGGGAAATCGAAGAAGAGCTGCCTGCCTTGCAGGGATAACAACCACCTTTCTTAACTGGCTAAATATTAAATAGATGAATTGTTAGGCTGTTTAGATTCAGCCCGTTTTCCCCTCATCTCCTCTTCCTGCCATAAGTAATAATAAAAATACATAATGCATCATGGCTCCCGGCGTTTTCCAACGCGGTCTGTTACCGCAGGAGTATCTGCTGAGTCTGCGGGTGTCTGCAAGGCCCCAAGTGTCATCTGTGGCTTAAAGTTTCATGGATTAGACTTTAAACGGTGTCTAGCCCCGCTGACATTAGCTTCCTCTCACGCTCAGGCTCCAACGAAGTGCGGGGTTAGGGGCTCCCTCTCCAGGCAGCCACAGCTGCCCCCAGGCACCTTCTCCAGTGGGGCGGCGGAGTGCTCCCGAGACAAATCTGCGGCTCGCTCTTACTTCTTGGAGAATGGTTTCCTGAGGTTTTTGAGAATGGCCCGGATGGGCAACACTGAGTCGCTCCTGGCGTGGGTGGGGAGTCTGCGGAGGGCGCTTCTTGCGGAGCCACGGGCCAGGGCGAGAGCGGGGCTGCGACACAGCCATTTAAAACTTCATAAATTATAAACAAGCCGCCTTGGCTTTAGCCATAAATTCTGCTCCTTTTGAGCCTGCAATTAGTGTTAGGAAGCACCAGAGTCTAAACACAACCAAACGCCCTCTGAAGGGTCCAACTGCCCGAGGTTGCCAACTTTTATTTATTTCCCCTCCGCACCCCGAGGTTTGCACACACAGTCGCCTCCTCCCCCGCCATCGCTGGCGGTACACACTCGGCTGGGTTCCCACTCCTCGAGGGAAGGTCACAATAGCTGCTCTATCGGAGGAGGCGCCCGCCACCCCGCCTCCCCCAGCACAGAAAGAACAGTGGGGGGAGGGGAGTCGGGCCGGCTATGGCGCTCTGGGCCTAGGCCTCTTCTCTTCGGGAAGATCTGCAGCGGGAAGGGGCAAATTGGCAGGGAAGCAAACTTCCATTCTAGCCTAGGAGCGCCCGTCCCAGGGACAATAGGGAACGCGCTGAGGCCTCGCAGCTGCTGGCCCTCGCTGCCGGCCGCTGGGTTGAGGGCGCCCAGAACCGCGGTTCGTTGGGAAGCGGCTGCACCATTGTGCGCGTTGCTTCCCTTCGGGCTCCGTGGAGGCGAGGCGGGTAAGGCCACACAAAGGCAAGGTTGGACCACTGGAGGTAGGGCAGTGCCTGGTATAGCTCTGCGTCTCGGTCTCGGGGAGGTTCAGCTCATTTGCCCACAAGGAGGAAGTGGCTCTTTGGCTCAGACCTCCACTAGCTGTTTTTTTCCTCCCTGTAGAAACCACTTTGGGGGAGGAAGAGGATCAGGGAGGTTGTGGGGGATCCTCCTGAGGCCTGGAGAAAGGGGTTAGTGTCTCAAGCCTGGGCCCATGGATGGGGAGTGGCAGTCGTTTTGTTCAATCAAATGTGAATTAAAGCGAGCCAGAGGTGAGGCAGCAGAACAGCCAACTGCAAAACGGGAGGTGGCAGTAGGGAAAGGGATTTAGGCAGACCAACAGCTTGCCCTGGCTACCAGGAAAAAGTTAGAACCCAGCCTGGAGTGACAGGGGGAGACCCAACGGAGCTAGGCATGGGGGGAGGGAAGTTGCAGAGGAAAGGCCTGAGGAGTACCAGTAGTTCTGGCTCCCAGAAAGGCAGTAAGAAAGGGCGATTAAGTACTATCCTGCCTCCTTGGCTTTCAGACCTCAGCTTCATCCAGGGACCTGACAGAGAAAAATCCACCTCTGATGGAATCGTTAAGTTAACCATCCATTTGTACCATTTCTTTGTACAGGCTTTCAAATGAGAGATTGGGGGAGAATATAGAGTGAGTATTTTCCCCTTGGTATACAGCCTCAGGCCTAGTCCCTATCAGAGACACATCAGCTAAATTGGTTTCCTAGGCCCCAGAGGCTGCTAACTTTGCTGAATAGTTTTAAAAGACAGTGATTACCTATACTAGCTACTCCCTTCTCCCTCCCCCATTCTTTACCAGCTGATTGACCCTTGAGTGAAGTGCATCTTCTCAGCCAGCAGGCTCGGGAGCCTAGGCTCTCCATCTGTTGAGGTTTTTCATTAGGGCGGGTGAAGAGGATGTGTGTGTGGGTGTATGTTTGAATAACAAAGACGGAACCCAACTTCTACGAAAAAGTGTTTCTCTGCTGGACCTGGGGAAGTTAGAAGCTTGTTTACACCTTCAGTATTCAAAGGATAGTCAGAGACCTGTTTTGATTTATCCTGAGAATTAGTTGAAGCTTCCTCCTGGAGTTAAGAACTGGTTAATCCCAGTTACAGATCTAGAAATGTCCTCTTCATCTGGGAGTTCTGGGCATTACTTGGGCCCTTCTTTCAGAAACTGTAAGGAAAGAATAGGATGAACGTAAGTTTGTGAGTATTAAATAAAAATAAAGAGCAGAAAAGCTCCAGTTCCCCACAAGTCTATAGTCTGATCACTTGAGGGCACTGCCACTTCCCAGAGAAAATGAGCTGACCTATTCCTAGACACTTTGGGCACAGGGAGCTGAGACTGAGTCACCAGCCCCAACCTCACGGCCTCAGGTTTGGCTCATTTAGATTCTCTTGCAGAAGTCCTGGAGGAGAAAGAAAAGACTGGGTAGATGAATCCTCTGCACTTACTCCATTGGTAGTGCTAGTTGGTGGAGAGGATCATCACAGAGAATGAAACCTTATTCTCATTGTGCCCTTGTCTCCTATTCCAGGTACAAATGTCCTTACCTTTGGGACCCAAAGTTGGTGCCAAATGAATTTACATACTTGGCCTAAAGCCTATACCTAGACACTTCCATCAGGTTTCATACCCACATTGGCAAGTTGGAAAGGCACAAAGACAATCTAAAAACCTACTTTTACGCCAGGCCCAGCCTGATGCACAGTGAACAAAAGGTTTGCATGTATG